GGTTAAGACATAATTTCTGTGTGGAGGTGGTGTCCCCCAAATGCGGCGCCTGCAGTTCTGTTGGTGTGAGAGGCTTTAGGTGTGCGTGGATGAATGCTGAGTGGGCAGTGCTGATTACAGGGGGATTAATGGGGAAACTCTTTGACTGGAATAGAGAAACAGATGAGGGTTAGTGAAATGGTTTCCTATGACTGTTACTGCTGTAACAAATTTCTACAAACCTAGGGGTTTAAGACAACCCAAATTTATGATCTTATGGTTCTGGACGTCAGAGTCTAAAAATTCGTCTGGTAGCTTCAGGGGGGAATGTTTCCTCGCCCTTTGCAGCTTCTAGAGATGGCTTGCATTCCTTGTCTCGTGGCCCCTTCCTTGCATCCCTCCAACCTCTGGCTTTGTTTACCACATCTTTCTCTGACCTCCCTGCCACCCTCCTATATGGCTGCCAAGGATGGCCCTGGTCCATCTTGGGTAATCCAGGGTTCTCTTTGCATTTCATGAGCCCTGATTTACTTATATCTGCAAGGTCTCTTTTTACCATTTGAGGTGACATGTTCACAGGTTCCAGGGATTAGGAGGAGGGCCTCTTTGGGGCACTGTACAGCACAGTTTGTAGGAGAAGGCTGGAAGGCTATGAGTTCAGGGACAAGGACACTGTCACAAAGAACTTGAGAGAAGCAGCAAGTTGAGGTGTGAGCTAACTGGAACGGTGGGGGACACAGCAAGGAGGGGGATGGGACTATATTAACCTTGTTTCCAGATGTCTGGGAAACCAGGCCATCCTGACCCTCTCCCCCACAAATGACAGTGTATCAAGGCTCTGACCTGATCACTCATTGCAGTCATCTTGTGCTTATACAGCCTAAGAGTCAGATTCCCTCACGCCACGAAGCTATTGAACAGTGCAGCTGTGGTACCAACTCTGGTCCCCCTGACCCTGAACCTGTCCTGTATTCATGTGGACTTTGGCCTCTATGGCTGATCATATCTTCCATGAAAGGGCACAACGATAATTCTGATTTCAATACTCCTCTCACTCAATGCGGGTCAGCCTTGATGAACACGAACAGGGTGAGGTGACCCTGCATGACTTCTGAGGCTAGGTCAGAAGAGGTGATATAGTTCCCGTTGGGCACTTGCTCTTGGAGTGCTCACCCTTGGAACACAGCGCCATGGGGTGAGCAAGCCCAGGCTATGTGGGGGGGGGGTCACGCGCAGGATCCCTGCCAACAGCAGCAGCTACTGCCCGAGGAGCTGGGTTTCCAGCTGAGTGGAAGCAGAGCTGAGCCTTGCTTGTCTCTCTGTGTTTTGTCTATCATCCTGACCCACCAAAACCATAGGAGACAATGAAGGATGTTGTTCTAAGACTGAATTTTGGGGTGATTTGTCACTCATCAGTGTAAGCTAAAAGAGGTACTCAGCCCTAGGACAGATTGGCCCACTCCCTTGCTCAGGAGGGCTCTGGGTTTTTATTTATTTATTTATTTATTTATTTATTTATTTATTTATTTATTTATTTATTTATTTATACAAGCACTGGGTACAGTCAGAAGCGTGGGAGGGTGAGAGAATTCACCAAAGCCAGAGTGGGGAGCAGAACAGGCAGACTGATGAAGTACACTGTTGAGGGGAGCAGCGGGTGTGGCAGGAGAGGTCTGCGCGCCATGTGGGACCCTCGCCAGCAGCTGGGGATTGAACTGGCACTGCAGAGGCTGCGGGCAGCTTTGCAACCCAACACTCAACTGCTGTGCCACCAGGGGAGGCCCAGGAGGGCTCTGGTTTTATAAAGTTTAGGTGGGATGAGAGTCTGAGCCTGGGGATCCCTTGGCTCAACCTTCCTCCCTCTTCCTTCTCCCTGAGGAGTAGGAGTAGAGCACAGGGGGTAGGAGCAGAAGTGCCTGATGGTGCCACGCTGTGCGGGACCTGCATGTCCTGCTGCTCAGGCGAGTGACAAGATGAGAGCAGCTGTCCCAGGGCCCATCACTGGCCAGGGGACTGGGCATGGATGAGAGGGCAAGGAGATGAGCAGGAGGCTGTTAGGCCAGCCTAGAGGAGAGAGGTGGATCTGGAATCAGGAAGATGTTTTTGGGACTGGGAAGGAAGGGTGGTTGGAGGGTGTCTCCCTCCAGGCATGGGAAACGGAGTGAGCAAAGATAGAGCCGAGGCCAGGGACAGGAGAGAGATGGCCGAAGTCTCCTGAAGGATACTGATGGATCAAGGGCATGAGCACCTAGGGGTGGGCGTAGCAATTTATTTAATAAAGAAATATGCATTGAGGAAAGTTTGCTGAGATCTTAGAAATACCAATGCTCCGAGCACTTGGGCAGAAGTGCATTGACTTGGGCCTACATACCATTCAGACACATTTCTTGTCCCTTGTTCTTTTAAACTATTATTTTCTTAGCTGCACAATTTTGAGGAAATGTGTTATAACCACTCAGAATAGCTGCATTTTCTGTGATATGGGGATAGTAAGACCTGCTTTAGAGTTGTTGGTAGAATAGAATGTAGTTTATTTTCCAGGTTAATTCCACAGTATGATATTTTGAAAACACAAAAGAGGAAAAACCAAAACTGAGTAAAAGCATCCCTTTGGTTCATTTATCAGCCTATAAGGATGATGACTTCAAATAACCTTAAATTCTACTATCATACTGTTTAAGAATCAGGAAAGCATATAATTTAGAAACCTAGTCAAAATAGATAACACTATGCTTTCTGAAGGGGTGAACTTCAGTTTAGATAATGCTGGAAAAATCTAGAAATTTCTAAAATAATGTTGGCCTCCCAGAAAGTTCAAACCCAGTGAGTGTTGGCATCGGTCATGTGTTGGAGGATAGCCTTGATGGTGCTATATAACAAACAGTGTGATTTCACTAACTTGCTGAAACTATTTTCTTGAAATTGGACCCTGATTACTAAGTTAACAGAAAAAAATTCCAATTGAATTTTGGAAGATTTTTTTCTTTTATGGTTAGTGTTACAGAGTTCAATTTGGTGAAAAATAAGCACTGAAAGCTTTTAACAATTTTCCAACAAAGTTTAAATTCAATTTTAAGAACAGTTGTGATCTAATTGGCAAGGAAGGAGTGCTTAATTCCTGGAAATACACTGGTGGGGAAGTGACCCTCTCGCCACCTTTGAGGCCAGGAGCCTTGGGATACCTGGAGGATGCTAGGGCCACACACAGGGTCCATAAGAACATTTCCTTGAACCCCCTAAACTTTCCTACCTGGGGGGTGAGTTTAAGCTTCCAGTGCATTTATTGTACCTTGTAGGGTAATTATTGTTATTTTTGCTCATTATATCTATTGTCTTGAACTAACCACAGCTGAATGAAAACGCTACCTAAGAGAAAACATTTGCAACACATAGCTATTTCTTAATTATCTCCAGGCAGTTTTATTCTGGCAGACCGAATTGGAAATCTCAGCTCCAGGTGAAAAGGGGAAATGCTTTTTAAATCCCCCCAAACATTTTTGAATCGAAACCAGGGTTAGGGATGAGTGTGCTGTGAAATCTGGGTGAAGGGTCCTTGTCATTTTTCAGATTTCAAGAAAGGTCTTTATAGAACTTACAAAGGAAGAAAGCTTTTTCATCTCTTCCTGGTAAAGAAAGTGCTGTGCTGAGGGTTATCTGAATGGGGTTTTAGATGATATATTTTGTAGCACTAGATGGATATTGTGACAGCTGGAAGGGCTGTGTCCCTGGCAGCAATCTTGAGCCTGGGCCTATTAGGACTCAGGGTCTGGTGTCTGGGCCAGGATTTAGGTTCCTATAAGAAGGATGCAGAGGCCCGCAGCACTGCTGAGGGAGTCTGCAGAGAGAGAGGGGATGGCTTTCCTACACATTCCCTGTCCCTGTTTAGCCTAGGAAACTTGACAACACAAGAATATAAAAAAATTAAAACCATTAAGGCCAGAAACCTGAGACAATCACTACTAACCTTGGGGGGAACCTCCAGGTCGTCTCTACAGGTGACTCATGGGATTGGGATCAGTTTACAAATGTTGGCAGCCTGCTTCCCCCACTGCGGCCTATATCAGGAACAATTTCCCCTGACTTAAAAATTGTTTAAAACACATATTTAGTGACTTCATGTTATCCCATCATAAGGCAGCTTCATAATTTATTAATGTGGCCTCTTCTTGTGGGACATTGAGGCTGTTTTCCAACTTTTTGCTGTCACAAATAAGGCTCCCGTGAAGAACTCTGCACACAAATCTCTTCTTGAGTACATAAATCTTTGACACTATTTCTGATTATTTCCTTGACATAAATTCCTAGAAGTGGAATTACTGATATGGAGGAGTATGACTGAGCAAACTTGACACATAATAGTAGGTTTGTACCAATTTGCATGCTGCCACTCTTTTGACAAATGTGACTTCTTGCCCAGGAACAAGGCTCTAGTCAAAGAAATGGGAGGTCCATGGAAGAGAGCTCTGAGCAGCCTTGTCCTAGGAACCCTGGAGATGCGGGATCCACGCAGATGGGGGGCAATGCTGCCCTCACTCTGAGGTGGTGGGTTCTGCTGTCATGAGCTGCCCTCCTCATCCCTGCCCACCCTCACAGGCCCCCCTATGCTTGGCCACCCATGCACTGCTGTTACATGCATTTCTTGAAGGGGGGGGGCTCCTGTACCTCTGTGTACCTTCCATCATCTGGACGTGGAAAGCCCGTCCCCACAGTGCCACCTGCTCAGGTTGAGTCCATTCTTAAGACTCAGTCCAAGGGAAAGTGGAAGGTGGAAATGAACAAACACTGGACAAGGGACCCAGGGCACAGTTCATGCTCTCGAGTGTTTCCTGTCCTAGTGGGAAGGGTGAGAGGCACTTCCATGGCAGAGACAATTTTATTCCCCATCTGGGTATACAGGTAAGCTATATTTCTCGGTTCCCCTTGCAGTTAGGTAGTGGCCTGTGATGATATCACTTCTGTGTCTGGCCACAAAGCCCTGGAGGTAGCTCCTCTCCCTCCCCCTCTTTGACTTCCTTCCACAGCAACCCTGGAGGCCATCTGGAAAAGGCAGCCTCACCAGATGGAAGGAGCCAGGGAGCTGGGTCCTGAAGCTCTGGAGCTGAGCCATCTCTTACCTCTGCCATGGACATGGGTGAGCAACGCATTTCTGCATTAAGCAACTGAGATTAGGAGATTATCTATTACAGAAACTTTTTCTTGCTAGGATGCTTACTGACAACGGCAATGTAAGGGTGTGTGTGTGTGTGAGTGTGTGAGTGTGTGTATGTGATGAAAGTTATGCTAACTCTGTGTGTGTGTGTGTGTGTGAGTGATGGAAGTTATGTTAACTTTGTACCAAGGACATGCAGTCCCATCCGGGGTTGGAGTGGGTGAAGAGGGAAGGCTTCGAGGATGAGGCTGTGCTTGGAATGATTCTCGAAGGATTACGATAATAGCGACTATGCTTTGGGGTCTTCCTACATTCCAGATGCTGTGCTAGGAGCTTTGCCAGATTAGCCGATTTAATCCTCCCAACAATTCTGGGTATTATCTCCTTTTACATCTGGAGAGAACGAGGCAGGAGAGGTGAAGTATCTTATCCCAAGTCCCTCAACCTCCAATGGCAGGGCTGGATATAGAATTCAGCATATTTGTGCGCTCCTCAGTGCACAAGCATGGGGGAGGGGAGATGTGGGGGGAGGGAGGAAGGGAATACTTGGAGGAAGAGAACAGGGAAAGCGTCATGGGCAAAGACAAAATTTCTAATTTTGCATTAGAAATGCAAAATACTTATCATCCTAGCTAACCCAGGATTGAGGAATCTCTGGGCGCTGATATGGAGCTGATGTGGGGTTGAGCCACGGTGTGGTCCAATGAGCTCCGAGGGACATGCTGCGATGGACGAGGGGTGGCACCCAGGACAGCCTTCCCAGCACAGAGGTGTGAGAGAATGTGACACATCTGGGAAACCAGCAGAGATTGGTGAACCCACGCCAAGGCATGGACATTCTTAAATAATTGTACTCTCAAAGGTCTGTTTGCTAACTTTGTGGGGAGAACAGCTGCCCTAGGGGTTCAGTTTATGGCCTGAAGCCTGGCACATAACACACTCCATGGATATGTCCACCAGATAAGCTGCAGAAAGGGACATGCAGACATATCATTTAGGAAAGGAGAGGCTCAGAAGCGCCACGTCCACCCTTGGGTTCCCTTAGGCAGCCACCCCCTCACCCCGTTCAGCCACACCTTTGCCCTTTTTGTTTCTAGGTATCCTGACACCGGGACCCTCATCTTTCCAGCCACTGGAACTTTCTAACCTGGCTTGGTAACTGCAGCCATCACAGAATTAAGTAATGACAAAGTGAGTTATTATCCAGCCTGGCTTCAGCGGGGCTGTAACCTGCAGCTGAGATACCTCACGGTTGGAACACTCACACGACTGTCTAGGCAGTGACATGAAAAATGGCCCCTATAGTCCCCCAGCTCAGAGCCATAGATCCTCAGAGTCTGGACTCCACACTTGGTGGGGGAATAATGTTGTTTTGTTGAGAAGGGGAAGAGGGTGTAATTAGATTCCTCTTAAATGTTACATTCATTCTTGTTAATCAAAAATTAGTAGCTCTTAAAAAAATAAACACAAGTCAGCTCCCCAGGAAGCTGATAGCAGTTCCTATGGCCTGTTTAATTACACAAAATGAAACAAAACGTGTCCCTCTGCCTCTTGCCTTTGGAATTAACAAAATGGAATATAACAGTGGGCATGTCTTGGTGGTGGGATTAAGTGATTTTTAACTTCCTTCTTGATTCGTGTGTGTGTGTGTGTGTGTGTGTGTGTGTGTTAGGTAACATTGGTTTATAATGCTGCTTGTGATTTAGAGAGATAGGACCTCCCCCTTTAGGTGTTACACCACACTCACCCTGCCAAAGCAGGTATCCTGTGAAAAACATGGACAAATGGCAGAGAGAAGAACGTACAGTCAAGGCCCAGTAGGACTCAGAGTGAAAAATGTGATGTGATGTTACTGCCTCCAAACACCCTCAGGGAAGTGAACCACATGCACCAATTTCTGATGATAATAGTGACCGTTTGAGTGTGCCTTTGTGTGCAGGGGGCCAGTGAGACAGTTAAGAAAGTAACTTGTCGTCTGTAGAAATCCAGGGCTTCATTTTTCCACTCTGCGGAATGTGTACAAATCTTGGGGAAGCCTCAGGTGTGCTTCAGGGCATGGAGTCAGGATTTACTACAAGTTTATTCAGGTCTCAAAGGCAGGCAGAGCCCAGCTGAGATCTGGATGAAGCCACCCCTCTCTTCTCTCCCCTCCCCTGGGGCTGTTTGTTGAATGAGTATAGGAATATTATTTTGACTTATCTATTTTGAGTATTGGCAACAGGAGGCAGGAAGAGGATGGCTGGGCTGTCACTGAGTCTGGTTGTTACCCTTCACCTGTTGGGCAGGCTTTTCAACACCTGTGCTTTGGGGGTGTGTCTTTCAGGCCATGCATTTAGCAAATGTTGGCTGAGGCTTGCTCTGGGGCAGGCACTGTACCAGATGCTGGATGAAGATAGCAAATGAGCCACAGGCCTTCTGCAGAGCCCCCAGGGCAGAGTGAAACACAGACAAATAAAGACAAATAAATACAGGAAGGACTACACAGCAGGGGCTGGTGAACTACACCCTGCAGCCCAATCTGGCCGCTTCCTGAATGTGTAAATAAAGTTTTCTAGGAACACAGCCATGACTATTCATCCATGGGATGGGTTTTGCATTCTAACGGCAGAGTTAAGTAGTTGAGACAGAGATCAGGTGGCTGCAAAGCGTACATTCCCTATCTTCTGACCATGGCAAATATGTGCTGACTTCTGTTTTAAAAGGAGAAAGATTTATACCATCTGAAGAGAAACTGTTACAGGGCAGGGAGAGGGGCACCCCAGATCCCGCAAACCTGCCTGCTCTAAATAGGTTCTGCCATCCGCGTCATCAACACAAAACATATGAGATTTTAATGGGAAGGAACTTTAATACGATTAGGAAACAATACAGGAAAGGCAAAGAATCTAATTTCTAAATCAAGCACCCAAAGTTACCCGTCCCCTCATGGGTAAAAGTCCCTCCAAATGGGATTGGCCCAGAGCAAGGCCCCAAAGCCTGCCACAAGTCTAAAGCACCTTCCAGTGGGGACCCACAGAAAAGGATCAGAAACAACCAGACAAGTCTGGAAGGAAAAGAGCAAAATCAAGACAAAAGCTGCCATTGTCACCTCCCCACAGGTCTCTCACCCACACCTGTGTCACCCAGTCCACGACCAAAAGGCAAGTGTACAGAGTGTCTGACTGACTCCTGCTTTAAAAGAAAGTGCTGTAGAGCATGAAGCAGTGGCCCAAGCAACAAGTCCAGGGGTTACTGACCCTGTTGCCATCCACTGCAGCCTTAGGGTCTTAAGGGTGGGCTACTGGGGGCAAAAGTCTTGGCTGTACTGCCTGGTGAGAAGCGATGCGATGCGCACCAAGGGAGGAGAGGTGGGGAGACTCTCCTTTCATCCTCTCCAGCCCAGAGGGGAGGCTCAAACCAAGGGAGAACATTAGGTGATAATGAAGTAAAGATATTTAATTAGCACTCATTCACGCTGTTTATTAAAGTCAGACTCTGATGTAAATCCCTTTCTAGACTTTGCAAAGAGGTATTATATATTAGCCCAGGAGACACTAGGCTAAAGCCTGGTTTAAAATTGGCTTTGAAAATCATTATTTACTTGTAATTTATTCATCAGTTCAAGAAAAATTGATTGAATACCGACTATATGACATTCAGAACTCAAGACCAATACGGCCCTTGCCGTTGAGGGGCTGGTAGACCAGGCACAGGGGAGACAGGCCATCAACATGCAGCAGGGGAGTGCGCCCCATACTCCTAGTCATGTTTTATGAAGTTACCTCCAATGCTGAGTTGGCCAGTACTGAGCTGCTGTGCCAAGGAAATGCAGGACTAGGTTCCAGCCACCCTCTGGCCACATTGTCATCGACCCATCAATATATAGCATGGTGTTATGCATATTTCTGGCTAAATGCATATTTAAATCAACACATATCATTGGCTCCTTTATGCTGGGCTCACCACGGGAAAGAGCTTATCTAACACAGAAGCTTCCTCCTTCTTGCACTCGGGACACCAGCACTTGGGGGCCATTTTAAAAAGTGAGATCACCAACAAGAAGCACAGAACTGTGAAAAATGTGGCACCAAACACACAGGAAACACAGCAGCTTGCCACTAGAAGCAGTGGTGTTCCCTTTGACCTCATCTGTGATAGGGCATGTTGGGCGGCTCAAAGGTTTCCCTGTTTTGAGCTCATCTGCAAATGACCTTGAGAGTGTTGTGGGTATTTTGGGGTTCCAAATAAGTTCAGCAAGTAAGTGAACTTGGAGATGCAGAACCCATGAATAATGAGGACCGACTGTGATTCAAGGCTGGAAGAAAGCTTTCTGTTTGGTTCTCCAGTAGGGGGGACACTGGTGGCAGCCACGTTGTCTGGGCAGAGACAGATGGGAGGGAGGAGAGAGGGGGCAGGGGGAGGGGAGAGAGGGGAGAAAGGAGAGAGAAGGAACAGAGGGGACAGAGGAGCACTGTGGGTGTGGTAGGGGGGTCTGGACTTTATTCAGGGTGGACTGGAAGGAAACAGAAGCCTTAATGGGGAAAGAGGAGACCCGAGTTATGGTTGAGCAGGATCACTCTGGCATTGGGTTGATGGTGCGTTTTAAGAAGGCAAGAGTGGACAAGCCAGAGCAGTTGGAATGATTGATGTCCTGGAGACAGACAATGTTGCTTAGAGCAAGCTGGTGCAGACGAGGGGGGCTGGGGTGATGACACAGCTGCAGCTGGACCCTCTAGGACTAGTCAGTGTGCTTGACCTTATGGCAGTCTACCTTTTAAGTATTTGTGAAATATTTGCTTTTTGGGCATTAGATGTTAAGTTTTAGATATTCAGGGTTAAACATCAAACAGTAATCTCTTAGCCACAGCAGCTTGTTGGCAGCTGCTCAGAGAACAGGGAAGAGCTCATCTGTGGGCCACCCAG